GTTAAATCCACTTGTACACTGCCATTTTCTTCATGGCATTATCCCCATAAACTTGGACTAACATTTCCCTAATTTTACTTCCACTCTTACCAAGTTTAACAAGAAATAGGTTTGTTCGTTGTTCTAATTCAAGTTCAGATATTCTCGTGACAACACACAAAAACATGCAACAATAATAACGAATGCCACTCAGCAAAACACTGCCACACATCAACACAAACAGCTGTGAGACACTGATATACCAAGGTTATGAAACCTTACCAAGCTGTCTGTACAGTGCTGCCAACGTAAGTGCATGGTGGCAAATTCGCAAACTTAATTGTCAGGCCTCATACAACTACATATTGTTGCAACTTCCTGAGTGTCTATAACTATTTCACAATAAACTTTTTAAAGTAAAGATATCAAAATGATTCAAAACAGAAAAATCCTATAGGAATAATCATTACTACCAAAATAAACTTTATTGGCAATTAACATGTGCCAGACAACAGTGCTATCAAGACAAAGAAATTTAACTTGCTCAAATGGGGAAAACGTCAAGAGGAGGAGAAAGGAATCCAGCTGAAAACTATAATGTGATATACAAATGTTTACTAAAAATATGTGCTACAGAGTAACTAAGGAAACAACAAAACATGAAGCTAGGCCATAGATTAGAGCTTATGCTATGCTACGATGTCTGGACTTAACTACACAGTGTAAGGAAGGAAGAGGAGAACAGGGCTACTGAAGGCAGTGGATACTAATATACTTTGGAGGAAATAATAAGAGAATAGAGTAGGACACTGGCAATTATGTAAAAAGAAAGAAACATGGAACACAAATCCCAAAAAACATAATTTTAAAGATGGGTAGAAAACACAGCTTCGAGAATGCCATAACATAAAATTGTTGAAAGTGCTGAAATATGAAAACAGTAATTGAGGATTAGGAAACGGTTAATAATTAGTTCTAGAGCCACAGGGCCAGAAACATACAGGCAGTGCAGTATATGAAAGCAAATTTCAGGCCTGTAATAAAGGAAGTTTCCTCCTAACTCAGCATTTCCTAAGATTATCACTTAGAGCTAAATGTTAACTATACAAATATAAGAATTCTTACTTCTTGTCTTTTCTTAAGATCTTCTTTGGCTGCTCCAAAGCGTTTGGTTAACCTGGCTATCTTGGCCTAAAAAAAGCAAAAATGAAACAGAAATCAAGTGACATTATGGCATTAAGAAGAAATCCATGCATACATAATAAGAAACCCACAGATAACAGGATCCTCAAAAGATAGCTATCACCAAAAAAAAAAAAGACAAGCTGATTGTAAAATACATATTTGAAAACTACAGAAAATCATAATGAAAACTAAAATAACCCTTGAACTTGATACCCACAGGTAAACACATTTTTTTTTAAGGTTTGCTTTTCCCCTCCAAGTACTGTGGATGCTTGCTCATAAACCTGTACATTTCTGAATATACATGTTTGTGTTTTTTGTTATTTTTTAACATAGTTGTAACCACATTTAACTTTCTCAGAGAATTATGTAGCAAGCATATCTGTAAGCCATAAAAGATCCCTTGCCAATACTACTAATGGGTATATGTATAATATATTGAATCATTACATACCATTGGTTATACACAGAGGTAGCCAAAAAAAATGTATACACATTTTAAGAAAGGAAAGCTATTGTAATTCTCAATATATACCAATAACAAAAGATGAATACAAGACACGTTTCACTTCTGCAATTACAAGAAGTTCCACACTTCTGATTACAGCGAACATTGTGTGGCAGACTTTTGTGGCAAGCGTGTAAACTGTTCCAACACCACAGCAGAAGAAGCCGGACTGGTTACTGTGCAAGGACTCCCAGATTTGAGTATCTGGCAGGAAGTAAGCACTCAAAAATGTAATTACTATGAGTGTTTGTTTTTTACCTCAGTTTTCTTGGACATCTGGCATCCCATTACAGGGGGTGCCAAAAAAAATGTATACAAGTGAACACTTTGGTCAATGCTGCTTAAGCAGTAGTTCGCAGTAATCAGAAGTGTCTGGATGCTGTACTATAATTTTTTCTAAATTATAATTCAAAATATCTTCCATAATGTGTCTAAGATTGGGTCTCTATTTTGGCAAGTATTCTGTGAGGTTTCTTAAATACTCTATAAATAGTCACTCTTTTTTTTAAGTTTAGGGAAGTCATATTCTATTATCATATCTTTGATTACTACTTCTATTTCATTTGTTCTTGGTTTCTTCCTTAGGCATATCTATAATTTCTTGATAATGGCATAATGGTTGCTGTTTAAGTCATATAATTGTGGGGATTGAGGCAAATTGGGCCTTGTTTAGCAAAGTAGGCAAACCAGAAATTTCTTAATGTACCAAGGAACCAGTTAGGAAATAATTGTATCTGAAAAAAGAGTTAATCATGCATCAAGTTTGGCATAATAACAAAATATTAGTACTCAAAAAAGCTAGCAAATAGGCACGGAGTATCCATTAGTCCAAACAGTCTCTTGGATTCGGAAGCCACAGATTTACTTGTGGGGGGAGGAGGAGAGACTGAAAGGAAAAAGTGAAAAAGCTCTTCTCATTTAAACCACTTGAAATGGCATTTTATAAATCATAACCAATGGAATGCTGTATTCCAGGGTATGCATCATTAGGACTCAATTGGCAAAATTTGTAGAGACACTACAAATATCTTGGCCAAGAACACTGCCATTAGACCTTCTAGATCTCAGGTCTACCCTTTTTAAAACCCATAAACCCTCACCCTTTGATATAGTTACAGTATCCACCATGCTAACCTAGCTCCTGCTTCTTTTGATCCACAGCCGATAAAAGGAGATATACTTCAATACTGTAAATGCCTTATTGCTTTGGCCAAGAATAACCATGCTTTAGCAGAACAATCTTTCCACAGCACACTCCTGGGGGACCAACGCCTTAAACATCACCTTGCAACCCAGAGATTTCATCTATTGGAAAAGGCATCTCCAAAAATAACTGTCTTCAACCCTGTTAGGAATGCCCCTTCAGGTACTGCTAGCCAACCCTTGTGCTTCCAAACTCCAAGGAATAGACTGTTAGATTCACATGTCACACCTAAAGAAAGCACCAAACCCTGACTGGACCTGCATACCAACTGGTGACCTGAAAATAAAGACTTTCAGGAACTGATGCAGATGACAGCTTTCCCAAGATGACAGGATCAGGCCTGTATACCCTTTGCTCCCTGTTGTTTATCTTATTTTCTCCCTGTCTTTCTAAGAAACACAACAAACACTATTATCAGCATATCCCAACCTATTGCAAAAAGGGGAACAATTTCTGATTGTTGGATCTGTCACCTATCTGTGCATTATGTCCAAGATCCCTGGCATATCTCCCTTTAGTCCCAAAAGCCACTGCCAATTATACTCACAAACCCACGGATATTACCTATCAGGCTAGACTTTTGCGGACAGATGTTCCTATATCTTGTTTCAACCATTCCCCAGCCATGACTATACAGGGTCAACTGAACACCTCCACATTTATTAATCCTTCGACCTTCATCATCTCACATCCTTATCCTTATTTGAATACAATCCGTCCCCGTGCACTCAAGGGAAACACAAACAGGATAACACCCTTTTACAGGGTTTTTAGAAAAGATTCCTTTAAGGTGGGATAGTTCCTCACAGAATGTCACCCAACTGTCTGACCCCTGGCTTGCAAAGGCCAATCAGGAAATTCCAGGCAACGACGCCATCAGTAACCCATGCCCTAGCTGGAATCCTGAGCTCCACCTGGATTCATTTTTGTCTGTGGTGGATGGCATTTCTTCTGGCCCTATGAATGTTTAGATAGTAGGGCAACTGGAGGTCAGTGCTTACTGGGGCATTTAGCTGTCCCTATTAACATCCACAACAAATCAGAGCTTCCCCTTGGTCTACTCCATTAAACCTCCCTAGATGCCTTAAATGGGAACTTCCAGGAGGTGTGCATGATTCCGGGTGTGCTTACATACAGAAAGCTTTCCTCTCTCGGTTAGGAGTAAGTGACAATGAAAAGTGTGGTCGGAAATCTCTCCCTAACATTAGGATAGCCAGTCAACTCTGCAGCCAAAGCTATTGCAGCCCAACAACAATCACTTGACGTGGCTAAAGCAGTTTCGGAAAACCACATAGCCCTTTAAAAAAGTTTTGTTTTTTTTTCTTTCAATTACAGTTGACATTCAGTATTATATTAGTTTCAAGTGTACAGCATAGTGGTTAGAAATTTATATCTTACAAAGTGATCCCCCAAATAAGTACAGTAACCCCGATACCAACATAGCTATTAAAATATTATTGACTATATTCACTAAACCTTATATCCCCATGACTATTTTCTAGCTGCTAATTTGTATTTCTTAATCACTTCACCTTTTTCACCCAGCCCTCTAACATCCCTCCCCCATCAGGCAACCATCAGTTTGTTCTCTGTATTGATGAGTTTGTTTTGTTTGTTCATTTATTCTGCTTTTTATGTTTCACATATAAGTAAAATCATATGGTATTTATCTTTGTCCAACATATTTCACTTAGCATAATGCTGTCTAGGTTCATCCATAAATGGTAAGATTTCACAATGGTAAGATTTCATTCTTTTATACGGTCAAGTAATACATCATTGTACACATGCACCAAATCTTCTTCATCCAATCATCTATCGATGGACACTTAGGTTGCTTCCATATCTTGCCTATTGTAAATAATGCTGCAATGAACATAGGGATGCATATATCTTCTCAAAGTAATATTTTGGATTTCTTTGGATACTCAGAAATCAAATTGCTGGGTCATATGGTAGTGGTACTTTTTTTTTTAAATTGGGGAACAGTGTTTTTCCAGGACCCATCAGCTCCAAGTCCAGTAGTTGTTTCCATCTAGTTGTGGAGGGCGCATCTCAGTGGCCCATGTGGGGATCGAACCAGCAACCTTGGTGTTAGGAGCACTACACTCTATAATCAATTGAGCTAATCAGCCACCCCGTGGTAGTTCTATTTTTAATGTCCTTCTTTGTCTCTTGTTATGGCCTTTGTTTTAAAGTCTCTTTTTCTCTGATATAAGTATTGCTATCCCAGCCTTTTTTTCATTTTCATTTTTATAAAATATCTTTTTCCAGCCCTTTACTTTCAGTCTGTGTGTTTCTTTCGATTTGAAGTGAGTCTCTTGAAGGCAGCATACACTTACGTATGGCTCTTGTTTACTTCTCTATTCAGCCATGTTATGTCTTTTGATTGGCACATTTAATCCATTTACACTTCAAGTAATTATCAATAGGTATGTAGTTATTGCTATTTTATTATTCATAGATTTGATTCCTCCTCCTCATCCTCTTTCTTCCTCTCCTCTTACTTCTTCTTAAAGAAGTCCCTTCAATATTTCCTGTAATACTGGTTTGGTGGTGGTGAACTACTTAAGCTTTTTATTGTCTGGGAAGCTCTTTATCTCTCCTCCTTCGATTCTAAATGACAGCCTTGCTGAGGAGAGTAATCTTGGTTGTAGATCCTCGCTTTTCATCACGTTGAATATTTTGTGCCGATCCCTTCTGGCCTGCAAAGTTTCGGTTGAGAAATCAGCTGACAGTCTTTTGGTAGCTCCATTGTAGATAACTGCTTTCCTCTTGCTATTTTTAAGATTCTCTTTAATCTTTGGCATTTTGATTATGATGTGTCTTGGGGTGGTCTCTTTGGGTTCATCTTGTTAGAGATGCTCTTTGTTTCCTGGGCTTGTGTGTCTATTTCCTTCTCCAGGTTAGGAAAGTTTTCATTCACTATTTCTTCAAATAGGTTTTCAATCCCTTCCCCTCTCTCTCTTCCTCTTCTCCTTCTGATAATGCTATGATGTGAATGTTATTACCCTTGATGATGTCCCAGGGTTCCCTTGAGCTAGCCTCAATTTTTTTCTTTTTGCTGTTTCAACTGTCTTCCAAATTGCTGATTCGATCCGATCGTCTGCTTCATCTAATCTGCTGTTGATTCCATCTAATATATTCATTTCAGTTATTGTATTCTTCATTTCTGACTGGTTCTTTTTAATGATTTCTATGTCTTTTTTTATGCTTACTATCTCTTTGTTTAAGTTCTCACTGACTTCTTCTACTCCTTTAATTTCATTGAGCGTCCTTATAACCAGTATTTTGAACTCTGTATGAGAAAGATTGCTTGCCTCCATTTCATCTAGTTCTTTTATGGAGTTCTGTCAGTTCTTTAATTTGAGACATGTTTCTTGTTTTCCGTTTGGCTGCTTCCCTGTGTTTGTTCCTATTAATATGTATTAGGTAAATCTGCTGTGTCTCCTCTTCTTGGCATGGTGGCCTTATGTAGTAGGTGTCCTATGGGGCCCAGTGGTATAGGCTCCCTGTTCACCTGAGCCAGATGCTCCAGGTGTGTCCCTTGTATGCGTTGTATGTGCCATCATGTTGCAGTTGAGTCTTGATTGCTGTTGGCACATCAGTGGATGGAACTGACCCTCAGGCTGAGTGGCTGTGAGGACTGGCCATAACTACAGTTGATGAGCTATTGTGTGGGGACTGGCCCCATGGAGTGGGATTTACTATGGCAGGGCTCTGGTGCCTGTAAGGTCCACCCTTTGTGTGTGTCATTTGTGGAGCTAACTGGGTGGTGTTCTGGTGTGGTCTGAAGCAGGTCACTATGTGTGTTGGTTCTGGGGACTCTTGGGAGGGGCTCCAGCATAGGCCCAGGTCAAGCACTGCCTGTGCTGGGCTCACACTACCTGGTAGGAGCTACAAAGTGATCTGTGGTTGGTAGCTGCCTGTGCTGGGCTTGGAGGTGCCTGGGAGAAGCCATGATGCCAACCAAGGCAGTCTGCTGCCAATGCCAGGCTGGGGGCCACTTGGCAAGACGTACGGGGTACACTTTGGCTAGCTGCAGAGTAGCTGTTGCCAAGAGCTAGGGAGAGAAAGAAATGTGGAGTGACCGTTGAATGGACACAAGGTCTTCTTTTTGGTGGATGAAAATGTTTTGGAACTGGATAGAAATGATGGTCACACACAATGTGAATGTACTAAACGCCACTGAATTGTAAACTTTAAAACAGTTATTTTGTTATCTGAATTTTACTCCCATAAAAACTAAATATCAGAAGACAGGAACTAAATTGGGCTTAGTAAAATTTAAATAAATGCCATGGTGAGGGCAAATCACTATAGGTGAGTCAAGGGGAGAAACAATATAAAGTCAAAAGCCAGGAATAAAAATACTATGAACACTGATACTTTATAGTGAAGCAACTGGTAGGTATTAGGAAAAGTGGATCAAAAACTAGAATATCTAAATTAAAAATTAAAAAATGAATAGTGATTGAAACTGGTTCATAACTGAGGAAACTGGAGTACATGAAAGAGAATGAAACGAGCAGTATTTTAGAAAGATTAGTACAATGCTTGGGAAGGACCAGCAAGGACTTAAAAAGTAGTACCACAGGAGTCGTGTGAAAGGCTGTTACTATAATTAAGGAATTGGGTAATGATGGCCACGTGGAAAGAGGAAGTAGACTTTTATAAGAAATAAAAAAGATGTGATTAGGCAACTCACTGTATATGTGAAGTGCTCGAGAGGAATCAGTTTCCAAGAACTCAAAAACTGTCAATAGGAGGAAAAAATGGGATGATATTCCTTGAAGTTTTTTCCAAGAATTCAAGAATTGTAAGAACAACAATGGAAGGGGAGTTTATTTGTAGAGGAAAGATTGGTTTCGTGTTAGAAAGATTCAGATTCTGAGGCTACAAAGAAACATCCAAGTGCAAAAGTTTACTAAATATTAAGAGATCTGCACTTGCACCATAAGTGAGAATACAAAAATCAAAACTTCAGGTTTTAAAAACAAAAAATCATAGTGGTGGCCACGGGACTGATGAGAGACAATGAATGAAATAAAATCACTCTCTTAAATCTTCAAATATTTTCAAGTTCTAATTCAAAATTTTCAACAGTAGTAAATTAAGTTTAATAATTAGAAAACATGATCACTATAAAAAGACCTGCTAAAGGTAAGTAACAGGGCAAGTGTTGTTCTAAACAATGCATTACATAATTACTACAAAAGAACTTATTATTAATAAAGTTTCACTTCAAGCAAAATTAACAATATGAAACCAAGGAAACTTTTAGGCTGAGAAATATAATACATAAATTCTAGTCACTTTTGGTTGCAGTTCTTTATAATTGGGAAACAATGACTTTATTTTCATGTACCACTTTCCTTTTATTTGTAAAATAAGGTTCTAAAAGTAGTTTGCAACTCAGCATTTGTAGACTATGTTCATGCTTCAAATAGTCTAATAGAAACCACACATTTACTTATGACAGAATAAATGTACCAATAAAATGTTCCAGTTTCTTTGTCTTTGAATAAAATGGATCACTACAGCATGTTATCATGTTCTCATTCAGTCAGTTAGAAATTCTGGCACTATATGTTAATATGTACTTAATAAAAAATGAAAAGTAGTAATTATTAATATAGATTAATAAATGAATGTCTTTAAAACATGGCAGAAAGTTGATTAACATAAAATGAATGACTTACAACAAATATTTAGTACTTATGAAATGTTAGATGATGTGAGCTTTTCTTTGGTGACTAAAAAAATATTTAAGAAGGACTACGTTAGGTAATTTCTGAGGCTCTGTTACGGGTTGAACTTTGTACCTCAAAAGCTCATATACTGATATCTGAACCCCAATGACCTATTTAGAAATAGGGTTGCTGCAGAAATAATTCATTTAGATGATGTCATCCTGGAGAACAGTGGGCCCCAATCTAAATGACTGGTATCCTTGTAAAAGAGGGAGATTTAAGCACAGACACACACAAGTTGTGTGAAGATGAAGTCAGAGATTAGGGAGACGCTTTTACAAGGCAAGAACACCAAAGACAAACCATCAGATACTACAAGACACATGGAGCGTTCTTCCTCAGAGCCCTCAGGAAGAGCGAAAGCAGCTAACACCTTGTTTCAGCCTCCAAAACTATGAGACAATATCGTATTTCTGTTGTTGAAGCCACCCAGTTTATGGTATCTCTTTTATGGCAGCCCCAGCAAACTAATAGAGGCTCCTCTTCTAAAATTTTGAAGTTAAATGTATTGTATTATGAAAAAATAAGTTATAAAAATGATGACACGCAGCTATATAATTAAGTCAGTGTACAAACCTGTAGTTCAGTAAGAACTGTTTTATGCCTCTTGTTACATTCAATCTTTTCCACTCGTGTTTTCAATTCTGCCAAAGTTTTATCAAATACAGCACACTGCAGCGCACACAATTTTTCTTCCAGCAACCACTGTACAACCTAAAGAAATATACATTTCTTTGTTATACTGAGCAAAGAAGACATTTCAGCAAGCAGCAAACAGTACGTACTCATAAGTACTAATAAGATAATACTAATGTATTAACTTGTTTACTGAATAAACATGCTGGCATCCACAACACAATGCTATCTGCTCCACTTCCATATACATAATATTTACTGCAAAAGAAGAATATACACAAAAAGCAAAAAATTTCCAGGGGGTGAAATTTAAATCTAATTTGAAATTGAAGCTTTAATCTTTTCTTCCCATACCCTCTATCATGATTTAAAGAAAACCAGTTAAAGGAAAAGACCAGTTTTAAAACTTCTAATCGATTGCAGATGATATTTTTGTGAGACACTAAGAATGTCACTGCAGTAAGAAATTTCTATAAAATATGTCTACATGCCTACTCACAATTTCCATATTTATCTCATTATGGACCCACAACAAAGGAGACACGCGGTGCTTGTTCAGAGACCATACCTGAATAACACCGTTCTTAGACTAGGAGTAAACTCTGGGGTACAAAAAAAGTTTTCAAAATACTGTCACATAACTATCTTCATATTTCTAAAAGCCCTATAAGAAATTAAATAAACGTTATTTATCACCATATGACAAATAAAAAAAGACTGGGAGAAAAAAAAGCCACTTTTTCCACTGCCTCGCTTACTTCTTTTCCTAGTGTGGGTATTGATTCCACTGCATGTTAGTGGAAGAATATGGGTCTACAACCTAGATTATTTACAATTTCATTATTAAATCTACAAGACTGAAAAATTAACTTCACCAGTTTAATATTTTCAGTTCTACCTCTAGTTTAGCAGATACTGGGGCGGGGTAGAGTAGTTTCCAAAGTCTGTACTTTAAATACTCCCTTTCCCTAGTTCTCCTAAAGCCTTTTCCTGACCATTTTAATACCAAGCCTAAAGCACATAACAAAGATTTCAGAATGTAGGAACTTACAACCATGAAACCAGCTTATTATAAAGATTAAAACGTTACATACTAGACTATAATGTTTCCACTGGAATAAACTTCAATATAAAAAAATAAAATAAGGGCTGGCTGAGTGGCGTGTTGGTTAAGAGCTGGCTTGGGACGCCAGAGGGCCCCGGTTCGGATCCCACATATGAGGGCCAGTGACACTGCCCTCTACAGCTAAGATGCTGAACAACAGCTCAACCTGTAGCTGGGCTGCCATGAGTCACAGGGGTAGGCTGCAGCACCTGTGGCAGTGGGTTGCCATGGGCTACCGTGTGTAGCCAGCAGCCAACATGAGCCAGAAGCCAGGGACTGATCTGCCTCGCCCGGGAAGAGCCTAATGATGGTGCCAACTTGGGCCAGTGAAGCAACGTCCTCCACAACTAGACTGAAGAACAAAAGGACAGCAACTTGTCTGTTCCCCATCCCCCAATTCCCCAATTAAAAAAAAAATAAAATAAAATCTGAAAACTAATATTCAGTTTTGTTACTACTAAAGCAAACAAAAAAAGTCATCATATCTCTCTTCCATTTTGATAATTACTACCACATCTTTAAAAAAATCATGTAGCTTTTTTAAAAATCAAAAGGGATTTTAAAATTAAATTATTAAGGATAGTAAGTTCAACCACTTTCTTCAAGTTCTCTTTTTTTATGAAAAACCTGAATATGTCAGTAAACTACAGAATAATTTCAAGCCTAGAAGAATAAACATGGTGGTACTTTTTACTTAATATGATTTTTAACTTTATAATCTATAACACCTTTTGTAGCTTCTGGTTAATATCTCCTTTGGCTGTAATCTTTACTTGAAATTCTGCCTCATATTCTTCTTCCATATATCGACGGCGTTTGGACTGTACATTGTCCATGTCCTCTGATTTAGAACGTTTTCTTCTGGAAAATTCAACTGAGAACAAACAGCACAATGACCAATCAGGTGTTTTTCTTATAGACCTTAATGTCTATTCTCCATCCTTAGCAACATATTATCTTTAGCTATCACAATAGCATTCTCAATCAATTATTTTATGAATTATTTTTGAGATCCAAAAAATAGATAGGTAGCTCTTAGCTTTAAACTGGAAACGATTTTCAATATGCTAAATAAGAACTTCCTAATGGCTAAGCAACAGAAACACAAAACATTTTATCCTTTAAATTTTCATATTAAGATGGAGAATAACCTAAAAATACAAATATGAGGAGAAATCACCTCATATTCATTCTGTTTAAATTTTATAATGCACATGAATCCTGACAAAATAGTTTTCCTTATCATGTCATAGATCTCTCAGTATTCATTCTCATGTCACAGATTTCTAACAACTGTGCATAGTTTTATTTAATTCTTCCTCCTCAGTAAATTTAGGAAAAATTCTTACTTAGTCATCAGTCTTAGGAAAATAATAATAGCTATACTTGATATATCTTAATGAATTTCAAACATATAAAAATAATAAAATTGTCATTATACAAGTAAATTTGGTAAAGAATAGACATCCAAAGATTTTCACTTAGAAAATTTCTATAACATAATGAGATCACAAGCAAACTTTATCTGGTTTCTTTTTCAATACATAAAAAGTGAAGAGACTAAAATCCCCATGCGTATTAAAGGCAAATGGCCTTATGTGACCATACCTATCCCTCTCCACTTCACCGTATATCCGTATCTGTGTGCCTTTTTAAAAATCCAGTTCTACTCAATGCTTCTCTTGTAATCATAACATACCTAGTCATATAGAGAGAGCAGTATGATGAAGAGACTTACAAAACCCAAGCGTCCTAACTTCTAGTCCAATGACCTTCCTATAAACCTAGTGACACTCAATCCTTTCATTTTTCCTTCCCATGAAGCTTAAGAGCCTTATGTAGACTGAGATAGACACTACCATTCACTTACGAGTATATCACCTCCAGACAAAATTGTTACAGTCCCATGATTCTAAACACAAATCTAAAACAATTTCTCTCACAACAGTCAGATAGTGCCTTACTAAATATTAACCTTAAATCCTTCTTACGGAACAATGAAAAGTATAAATAAACAAAAGAAAACCCTGAAGTTTATAAAATAATGCTTTCAAAGACCCTTTGGTTAGCCATCAGCAAAATGATTTAGGAGTAGCTTACATAGATTGCAAAATTTTACAATCATCTCATAGACAGAAAGTATATTCCGTGGCTTTAAAGGTAAAAACAATAAATTTGTATTTTTTAAACTGGTACACTTTTATGTACAGGCTTACTTTTCTCAGGAGGTCTTTCGTCTTCGTGTATTGCTTGCTCTTCTTCCTCAGGTTTGCTGTCCTTTTCATTACTTTCTACTTCTGTAACAAAAGGAGAAAAGGAAATCTTACTTCCATTAGAATTCATAACACCTCATTATAATTTACACTTTTGGTGTAACTATCCAGTTAATAATCTTTTATGAAATCAGAGTCTCAAAAATGTGCAATTTTGAGAATAAAAAGGAAGCATGAACTGGTAGAAATGAATGACCAAGTCCACTTTCAAATGTTCCTGCAAATTCATAATAAACTCTTAACATGGAAAAAAAATAGTACAGATTTTTAAAACAAAGAATCTTGGTAATTTACTGTCACCAACAGATTAATAAAATATGAAAACAATGACCATAAAACACTTAGACTCCTTATATTCAATTACTAAAACTAAAATAGTGGTTTTGACAATTTCAAAAAAATTACTAACTACTGGCAAACTACTGTCAAAACATGGGCTATTTTGAACAGACAGGTTGAATCATGTTATTTCAATGATATGAGACAGTTCATAAAAGAGGAATAGAAAAGGTATCCTAAAGATATTTACTGAAAAGTAATAGCTACTTTGATACCAGTCCCACCAACTGAGCTAGGTGCTTGACATATATGTATTACTTCATATCCTCAATATAATCCTACACTATAAATGTATTTTTGTGCTCATACAGATGAGGAAAGTAATGTTCAGAAAGGTTTTCACAAGAAGCACATAAAACAATGAAAGAGTACTGCCAAAAAATATTGCTAGAAATGGCTACACAATTGTATTGCTACAACAAATAAAATCCCAGAGGTACCAGAAATAGCCTTTGTCAATCAATCTATATCTCTTCAACTAACTTAGTCATTAAATGGGAGAGAAGAACAAATCACGAATATATTTGGGTTTCTATTTTTCCCCCTTATATCACTGCAACTGGCTCCTCCGTGCCTTCAATAAGGCATGCTATGTTTCATCATACCCTGCAAACAAAATTAAATAAGCAGTCATGAGGTATATAGCACTATATAAAGATTTTGATAAGGTATTTCTCCAAACACCAGGGCTTTAATCCCAACAGCCCTGATAGTAGGAAGTCAAGGTAAAAAAAACATAAGACCTTTTAGCTGAAAATAGAGGCCAGGATCACTGGTGAACCTATTAAGGCTCTTACAAATATGTTTTTCACACTAAGATAAAACAGTAAAGCGTGTAAAATGTGACTATAGTAAAATGAAACAAAAAAGCTAACAAAATACATAAAGATTACTAAAACTATTTTTAAACTTTAAAATAAATGAGTGTTGGAAAATTAACTTTCCATTTACCACCCTATGCTCATTAGAAATGTTTTAAGATCTCATCCCTCAACCTCAGTTACAATTAAATGAAAGTGTGTTTTGCTTCCTTGTAGACTGCAAACTCCTTACAAAGCATTTTTTTCTACTCGTATACAATCTAGTTTTCCAACTCTTCCTGATTTTAATACTAAAAATGATGACTCCTGAGTTTCCCTAGTCTCCGGAGTTTCTGGAGACACAGAGAAATTGGGTTGCTAGAAATGAAGGTTTAGTCTTTGTTGTCATACCATCCAAAGAACAAATTTTGGCTCCAATTAGGGTAACTGCAAACCAGATCATTAGAACACAGCACAGCCAGCCGGCCTGGTTTCATCTGCCTCTATGATGCATGTTAGCGCCCTCATCTAACAGATATGTCAAGCTTAGCTTGAGATGCCTTCACTGTACTCAAAAACCTCCTCCTATCACCCAATTTCCATTTTCCAGGTATCCTTAGAGGGTATGACTGGATTCTCAACGCTTAAATCAAAATACTCACTGGGATTTTACAATAGACACATAGAATTAAAATCCATGCTTGAGTTTTATTTGATTGAAAGAACCTGAGGCTCTATAGAAAGGGGTAAGGCCCTATATTTCTTTCATTTTTTTGTTCCCAAAGTCTCTAGAGAATCTGAGCGGACCTCCATAAACCCAGAATAATAATCAAAGGCCCTTGCACATACGCATTTTTACATACAGAGGGTGCCAAAAAAAGTATGCACATTTCAAGAAAAGAAAAACCTGTATTAAAATTGTAATACTCAATATATACCGATAACAAAAGATGAATACAAGTCATGTATTCTTGTAATAGACTAAACCTTTACATTTCTTTGGCCCCCCTAGTACAATTTCAAGCAGTTCCTGGGACTTCTGAAACTCATCCAAATGATTAGGTTCAGCCTGTCTTTTTTAAAAAAAATTTGTCTTCATTCACAGACAGTTTCTGTTATAATTCCTCTGGTATTGAGTATAGCATCATGACAAGTTGGCACATTTTAATATACAGTTCTATGTGTGATATTTTTTTCAATCAGACTAGACAGTAAGCTCACTAACAGCATGCGTCATCACATCTTGTAATTCTGGTAACCCTCAAAACTTTGGTAAACAGCCAAGACAAAGTAGATGTTTAATATCTGTCTGATGACCATTTTCTTAATAAAATTCCATTAAGTAAAGACGGAAAAAGTGTGTTGCAGAGGATAAGAAGACAGAATTTACATGAGGGAGTTAATTTCCCATTTTTAGAATTACAGTTTTAGAACTTTACTCCAAGAAAATATGGACAAAACTGTTGCCTTGGATGAGGGGTTGGCAAATATTTTTAATTTAATCAATGATAAACAATATGCAATATGTAAACAAAAGGGTCTGACTATGTTCCAATAAAACTTTATTGACAAAAACAGGGCCTACAGGCCATAGTTTGCCAATCCCCTGATTTAGATTATTGGCTTTATGAGATAATTGAAAAAAAAATTCCTATATATTAAAGACATTAGAAAAATGGGCAAAAACGATGAACAGGCAATTTATAGATAAGAAAATACACATGTGAAATAAACATAAAAAGAGTCTTAACCACACAAGACATATCAGAAAAATGTGGCACTAAGGTAATATGACTTTTCCAGAAATTTTTTGAAGTTTTACTTAACTAATACAAAGATACAAATAACATCTTCCATAGTAAATTTTTGTGCCCTTTTTAAGTAAAACTCAGGGCGAAAAAAGTTAGTTTATTGTCTCCAATTCTTTTTCTCCCATTCTATCTGAAACCCAATCTCAATTAGGTTTTCAATTCTACTGCCCCTGTCAAGGTCACAAATGATACCCAGGTTATTAAATATTTCTCTTTCATCTTACTTGAACAAATAGCAGCATTTAATACATAAATAGAGTTAACTACACCCTTCTGCTTGAAACATTCTCTTTACTGGACTTTTAAGACAATAAAATCTGTTTTTCTATCTGAAGAACTGCTCTTGATTGGTTTCCCTTGCTTGTTCTTTCTAATATTCCCACCTTCAAATACTGGAATGCCAATTTACACTCACTCTGAGGTGATCTCATCTTGTTACTCAACTTCAACTAATGTCTATATGCTATCTACTCCCAAATTTTCTAGACGGTCCAAGCCCCTGCCCTGAAATTCAGAGATATATCTAACTTGAGCAAAAATAGTCATTTCAAACTTATTTTTCTCCTATACTCATTCCCCTTTCCAAAATCTGCTTCATCTTTTATCTTCCTCAACTCTGAAAAGAAAAATCTGCAATTTCCACACCAGTGTAAGGAATAAGAGGTCCCACAAAGAAAAGCCAAATACATAAGAAACAATTGAATACAAATGGGTGGAAAAAATTATTTTTAGCTGAACATAATAATGGCAACAAATTATTAAATTTTAATTGACTTTTAAACCACGACAATTCTATTACTACTAACCTAGAGCAAAAATAGACAAAAACCTAGATTCTATTCCCATGCAACTATCCTTTTATTAGCATTTATGTTCATCTTATTTATCTTAAAGATCCAATGAACAGGGAAAAACGAATCAACCACAGATTTTTTTTAATCTGAAATAAAAACTGAATATAAAATGTGGTCTACTCTAAAATAGATTTTTCTCTTTAGTAACTTTAATAGCAATGTTTAAAAAACAAAAGGGCAAGTGGAGGAGAGCCCTCCCTCCTATTTCTCCATAAGAAATAGAATGAGAAGGGCCAAAAAGGAGAAAAAAAATGGAGAAAGCAGTGGCTCAGAAGCTAAGGAGGATCTCAAGAGGAAGCAACTGTTTAAGAGGTCATCCAAGTATGAGAGAATAAAGACAATAAAAAAAGATACCCCTGGAATTAACATGAACATCAATGTCACTTTACTGAGAATTAGGAGGGGGGCTGGTAAGGTGGAAATCAAAATTTAATTAAGCTAAAGACTAATAAATAGGAGAAGAAATGGTTCTAGCTTTGTTAACATAATTTGAAGAATGGCTCTAAAAGAGAGGAAGGGGGTGGAACAGTAGCTAGAGGAAAGTACATGGTATGGAGAGTACATAAAACTCATGTGTATGCCTCCTCTAGTGCTGTTTGACTTTCCCAGAGAGAAACCTTCATTTTCCTAGGCTTCTTAGACTATGATTTTAATCATTCAGTGAGTATCCGTCATTATATAGTAGTATTATGCAACCATGTGATAGTGTCTTCAGGCCTACTAAGGTATATCTGCAAAGTTTTTTATTTAGCTCTTTCTTCTACCTTTGTAAAATTAAAATTGCTTTTCTATATGCTTTCTGATATCTTTCTTTTTTTGTTGTTGCTGCTCAGACCTATTGTAACTGCTATATTCAAAACAAATTTGTTAAAGAAGTGCCTGAAGTAACAGATTTCCTATTAGTACCGCACATAAACGTTAATAGAGGGAAGAGCCAGAGTTCACTACTTCAATTTATAATTGTGTTCTAAAAACATTAAAAGTTAGTCAAGAATAAAGAATCTGATGAAAGCAACACCTCAGCAGGTGCACAGCAACAAATAATGACATGTAACAGATTCTGCTACCATATAAAAAGAACAGGGTATAGTTTAGGAACCGATGAAGAAACTATATGTCAACCCACAGTACACAAAATTTCCTTGGGGGAGAAACAAAAAATAAGTTTAGTAACTGGCTAAGAAATTAAATCAATCACTAAACTTATTCTGCTAATAGCATACAATCAGATAAAAGTCTAAAAATAAGTAACTAAAAATAAACCCACTGAATTTTCAAAGTATGCAATATGAATTACTTAATATTCATCTCTCTACATTTACAGCATGTGGGAGGGATGGTCTTCAATATCAAGATTCTGACATAAAAATAAAATGTACAAAATCATTAAATAATAAGCTGCAATTTACTATGACTTTCTTGTAGAGACTACCAGAAGGATTTTTTAAGGACTTGCCCCAATATTACTCTTTATGTAAATACTCAATGCATGAATGAGTGAAGTTCACTCTAAACACTATTATCTTTCCAAAATGTAAATTTCATGTCATTCTCCTCTGCTTGAAATCATTCAATGGCTCCACTGTGCTATCAGAATGACATGAAATGGTTAGCATTGTAACCAAAGTGCTCCATGATATACTTTTCCAATTATTCATTCACTCAACAAATATTTACTGAGCACTTAACTGTAATTCAGGCATCATTTGTCCTGCTGGTGGTGGCTCAGCACTGGGGTGACAGCAGTGAGGATGATAAGAAGAGACTGGCTGGATTCTAGATCTATTCTGAAGGTAAAGCCAACAGGATTTCCTGATGGACTGAATATGGGATATGAAGGAAAAAGTAAGAATGGCTCCAAGGTTTTTGGCCTGGGCAAGAAGTTGTCTGTCGTTAAGAGCTATTACCCTGGGCCGGTAGAGTGGCGTGTTGGTTAAGAGTTGGCTTGGAAGCACGAGCTCTGAGCAGCAGGGCTGCTGGTTCCGGTCCCATAGGGGTCAGTGATGCTGCACCCTCTACAGCTAAGATGGTGAACAACAGCTCGACCTGGAACTGGGCTGCCGAGAGTTGCTGGCGACAGCATAGGCTGCAGCCCCTGCTGCAGTGGGCTGTCATGAGCTACTGTGAGTGGCTTGCAGCCGGCATGAGCTTCCATTAACTACCGTGAGCGGCTGTCCAATGGCCAGTGACCGATCAGCCTCAGCCGGGAAGAGCGCAATGATCATAATACCAACATGGGCCAGTGAAGCGACATCCTCCACAGACGTCCTCCACAACTACACTGAAGAACAAAAGGACAGCAACTTGTCTGTTCTCCTTCCCCAATTCCCCAATGCTGTTTCCTCCCCCAATTCCCCAATAAAAATCTTAAAAAAAAAAAAAGAGCTATTACCCTATGCAATGCAAGGCAAGTGCTTTCCTGAACACATCTGATATTCCCATAAAGTTACCCTTCTCTAAACTCCCACAATACCAATTTAACATTATTACTGTAGTCACAGCCTTGTACTTAATGATCTGTGTTTTCATTCTTGTCTGCATCCTGAGGGCAAGTACTAAATTTTATCTTTAAATCCCCAGAACTAAGAAGAGCCTGGCCTGTGTCTCTCTATAGGTTTACTGAATGAATAAATGCTCTTTGGAAATGGAAGTCACCTTTTAATAATAAAAAACCTCTACCTCCAAAAGCCGATATGATACATTGCAGGGTAAAATCCTCTGTGTCTCCTAGGCCAGCCTCATTTCTATTTTCTTTGAGGAACTAGAAACCGGATAGTATGATTGATGCTAATAAGGTCACTCCTCTCAGAACTCGAAGGGCATGAGAAGCAATGAGAACATAAAGGTAAAAACTCATGCCCATCTAAAAGGAACTGAGATAGGAATGTTTGAGCTTGACCATGAAAGTGAAGTAGGATTTTTCTCATTCTCTTTTATTCTAGAGATTTAGGTTACACAGAAATCATTCAGAAAATGAGAGGATAGAGAGTAGGCTGGGTAAAATCATGATGACTTGAGGAAGTAAATGGATGATGTCTTCATCAAATACACAATCAGGCTTCAAGGTTTCTGGCTTCCAGCAATAATGGTGTCATTCCCCAAACAAATAATATTTAAAAAATCAGATGTCAATTGAAAAATTAATTGTAAAATGTGATTTGTAACACTGGAAGCAAATAGATTAGTAAGCTTTTATATTCTAAGTTATTTGGCTGCTAAGTGATAAGCAAGAACAGTTACTAGCACTTTGATCAATTATGTACTGACTTAAAATTGTTATATCATTTTGTTATGTTGGTCCATCTTCTTTCACTTCCTAGACTATAAGCCCCTTAATGGCAAGAGCCATATTTTCTTCTTACTTTATCTCCCTTCTTAGCACTTCACACAATGCTACTTAGAGTAGATACTTTGTAATTCTGAATTCTGTGCAATTAAGAATCTATGAATTAAGAGAACATTAGAGTCACCATCATCTCAACTTTCTTTATAATTAAAAGAAATTTAAAACTTTATGAGAATGTTTTATTAAACAGTTTGTTAAATCTAATAAAAAATTTTAAAGTTTAAATAACATGCTAACCTGGAGAGGGTGTCTCATTTTGTGATATAACTTCAGGCTCATCTTTTTCACCTGAAATATCCTCTTCATCAGAGAGGACCAAAAAGGCTTCTTTTGGCAAACTCTCACTGCTTTCTTGTTTAGACGGTGAACCAAAAGAACCTTCAATCTTCTCTTCCAAATCCGGATTTGTCTCATCAATTGGAAGGAGACAAGTTTTCGAGAAGCAAGTGAGTTCATCTTCAGCAGGTGCAAGCTTTTCCAAAATAGGAATAATTTCATCTGTCTCCATAGAATCTGTATTTTCTATGATATTCTCATTTTTGTCATCTTTTATAACATTTTCACTACTGGCTTCTGTAAGGACTTTAGGATTTTCATCTTCATTCTTTTCATTTTGGTCAATTTCCATACTGCTAGATATAGCCTCCTCTCCAAGAGCAGGTTCTGTGATAGCATCTTCCTCTACCTTCTTTTCATTTTCAGGAGGTAGATCTGAAGAAATAATTGTATCATCTGTTTCTAGAATTTCTTCATTAGCATCAATATTATTATCAGCTTTATTTTTCTCATCAGATGAGAAAACGGTGGTGTCATTGTCTAACTTTTCATCATCCCTATTTTTTTCAAGAAAATCATCACCTTTATTGCTAGTAGGCTCTGTATTGTCAGTTTCAGGAACTGGTTCACAAACTGGTACAGAACTTGGTTCAAAGGTGGGATCAAAGGCTGATTCAGAAGTTGGTTTATCAGAAATTGTTCCATCAGAGACTGAATCACCAGAGGCCAGATCACCAGAGGGCAAATCACCAGACGCGGGAACATCATCAGAGGCCAGTGTTCCAGAGGCCAGACCATCACATGCTGAATCATTAGAGACCTGATTGCTGGAGATCGGTTCACCGGAGACTGGTTCACCATCGACTGGTTTACTGGAGACCAGTTCATCAGACACTGGTTCACTGGACATTGTTTCACCAGAGACTGGCTCACCAGACACTGGCTCACCAGACACTGGCTCACTAGAGACCAGCTCACCAGAGACCAGCTCACCAGAAACCGGCTCACCAGAGGGGGGATCATTAGAGGAGGGATTACCAGAGGCAGGTTCATCAGAAGTGGAATCACCAGAGGTGGAATCACGAGAGGTTAATACTGCAGAGGCCACATCTCCAGAGGCCAAATCTCCAGAGGCCAGGTCTGCAGTAGCCAGGTCACCAGAGGCTGGATCACCAGAAGCGTGTTCAGCAGTCAGTTTAGAGGGTAGTTCAGGAATTATATTATTAGGAGACAAAGGTTCACACTTTAAATCATCATCTGGCTTGTTTTTTACATTAACATTTAAGGTACAAGGTGTTTCTTTCCATTCTGATTTACTTTTTTGAGGGTCAAAGCAAAGTTCTTCAATGCCATTCACTTCGTCCTTGTCATTAACATAATCCGTATTTTCCAAAGGGGAGGTTGGGTCCAAGTCTCCATTTTCATGGTTGCCATTTAACAGCTTGACATCAGTTTTCAACAGTTCTTCTTTGACCTTGTATACTGCTTCAAGCTGTTGCCGATCACTCACTCTCATTGTTTTTCGAGCCTTAAAGACTTTTTTCTGAGGTTCTTCTACACTATCCATTTTGAATCTTTAAAAAAAGAGAGAGAGAGAGATTTAATAATTGAAATAGAAGCCACTTAATTACAGACTTACTGAACATTGATCTTATAAATAACACTTCATGTAATTTTGAAGTAATGACATATACAAAACATGATAATCCTTGCTATATGTTAATTTTATATCTATTGGATTTATGTAATATAAAATTGGTAATAGGTACAGTCCACAGAAGATCAATTATTGAAAGTATTAGAAAAAAGTAACTAATTTCTAGTTTTCATTCTCAGTAAGCTAATGGATTCAGCAAGTTTGATAATATATAGCCATAAATAAGTAGATGGAAGTAAAAAAAACATAGAACATAGATGGAGAAAGAAAAATAAAATTACAAGAGAATAAAAATGGTCGGAGAATGGGAAAGAGGTATAGAGAAAAAAGGAGAGAAAATTAAGAAACACATAAGGAAAGATTATATTTATAACCAGCTCATTCTAAATTAACAGAGCTGTATATATATTAATAAGAGATTGCCATCAAGAAAGTGAAAAGACAACTCACATGATAAAGAAAAATATCTATATATTTGCATATCACATATTTACAAATAATATATCTGATGAGATAACTTTCATATAGAAAATATAAAATACTGTTACAAGTGAATAACAAAAAAAAATTTTTAAATGGGCAAAGGACTAAATAGATATTTCTCTAAAAGATATACAAATAGCCAATAAGCCAAGAGTCAATAAGCAATAAATATGAAAAGATGCTCAACATCATTAATCATCAGAGAAATGCAAATGAAAATCACAATGATAAAACACTGCACACATAGCAGGATGGCCATAATCAAAGAGAAAAACAAGTATTGGCAAGGTCATGGACAAATTGGAGCTCTCATACAATGATGGTGATAGGGTTGTAAAATGGTTCAGCTGCTTTGGAAAACAGTCTGGCAGTTACTCAATATGTTAAACATTACTGATTACTTTTCTATCTTTCCTTTTTTGTAAGGTATGTACATAAAGCTATAAATTTCCCCCTAAGTGCTGTTTTACCTGCATCTCACATTTGGATGTGTCATATTTTCATTATTGTTCTATTAAAATATTTTCTAGTTTCTACTGTAATTTCTTTCATCAGTGAGTTATTTAGAAGTAAGTTTCTTTAAAAAGTAACACATTATGACCACATGAAGCTTATTTAAAAAAAATACATGGTTGGTTTCATATTGAAAAATCAAGCAATGCAGGTTACAAGTGAGTCATGAAGCATTATGGCTTTATTTCAGGTCCAACCAAAGTGTCCACTTGATAAAAATATATTAAAGCCTTAAGCCTCAATCTCTCAGAAAGTGACCTTATATGGATATGGTCTTTGCAGAGATAATCAAATTAAAATAATGTCATTAGAATGGGCCCTAAACCAGTGTGAATGGCATTCTTATAAAAGGGGGGAAATTTGTAGAAAGACAAACACAGGAAGGATACCATGTGAAGATGTGAGTTAGGCTGCCACAAGCCATAGCTAGGAGAGAGGTCTGGGATAGATCCATCCTTAGCTCCTTCAGAGGAAGCATGGCCCTGCCAATACCTTGATTCCAAACTTCTAGCCTCGAGAGCTGTGAGACACTAAATTTCTGTTATTTAAGGGGAAAACAAGCAATGTGATTCACCACATAAACAGAATAGAGGGCGAAAAAAAGATCATCTGAATAGATACACAATATTCATTCATTTGACAAAATTCAACACTGACTCATGATTAAAATGTTCAGAAAACTTAAGAATATATGGGGCCGGCCGAGTGGCTCATTGGTTAAGAGTTGGCTGGGAGTGTGAGGTCTGAGCAGCAGGGCCCTGGTTCGGATCCCACATAAGAGCCAGTGACGCTCCGCCCTCTACAGCTAAGACGGTGAACAACAGCTTGATCTGGAGCTGGGCTGTCGTGAGTTGCCAGCGATGACGTAGGCTGCAGTGAGGCCGCAGTGAGCTGCCGTGACCTTCCATGAGTGGCTGGCAGCCTGCGTGAGCTGCCGTGAGTGGCTGTCCAGTGGCCAGCGACTAATCTGCCTCACCCGGGAAGAGCACAATGATAATACCAACATGGGCCAGTGAAGCAACATCCTCCACAACTAGATTGAAGAACAAAAGGACAGCAACTTGTCTGTTCACCTTCCCCGATTCTTCAACGCTGTTCCCTGCCCCAATTCCCCAATAAAATCTTTAAAAAAAAAAATTTATGGAAACAATTCAAATCTAATAAAAGCTATCTACCAAGAAAACTACAAATACCATACTTAATGGAGGAATAAGATCAGAACCAAGACAAGGATCTGCTCTACCACCATTCCTATGTTAACATCTGGCCAGTACAGTAAGGTAAGCAAAAGAGGGCAAGGATTGGTTCTGGAGAAAGATAATGTCACCAGTCTATAGTGCAATAAAACAAAAGTCCTTTAAGGACTTAGATGTCCAGGGAGCAAGAATATGCTTCCACATTAAATATTCATTTACCATCACAATTACCAGCAGAATGATGATAGGACACACTTGCTTTGGTTGGAGAAGGAAAAAAAACAGCCTCTGAGGTCTTATTACAGAACTTATCTGAGGTCACAGGTAGGTCTTAACGTTATAAACTGACTCGACGCTTATAGCCAAGCCATGTTGTTCTGTTGGACATAAAACCACCTCAGCATTCAAATTAGATAAGGTCACTGTGCAACACATAAAATACCAACCATCTCCCTCACTAAATGAGTGATGGCTATCCTTTATCAATTGCAGCTTTATTCTCACTGTAGTCTGTCCTAACTATATATAAGATTTATTGAGATACCCAAGCAAAGAACTGCCCCCACCTTCTGAGAGTACCCAAGCCGAGTGAGGCTCTACTTCCTCAAACCTCCCTCCCACCCCAAAATAACCCAAGCTATACTATATACTATGACTAAATCCTACAGTAGGTTTTTTTCTAACATCCTCTTCCTGATGTGCCTCACAGTTTGAGCATTCTCTCTCAATACAACAAATAATAAACCCAGCTTGTTCACTTACAGGTGTTCCATTGTTCCTTTGGCTGCAAGGCATGAAACAATGGTCTCGCCTGTTGTGAACCTACCACTTTGTCACAGCACTTCTAGGTTTTGGTATATTCTGCATTCATTCTCTCACACTAAGAAAATTATATTTCTTAGTCTTCCTGGCCTTTTAAATTAACTTATGGAACTGAGTAAAACTATTTAGAAAAATTATCTTGCAACTGAATAGAAACTTCCATGCAAAATTATCAGAGACAGTATTTTAAGGATTATGAATTGTAGTCTAAAATTTAAACTTCAATTTTTTTTCCATCCACTATCTATTCCAAACTCATGCTAACTGAAAATTTTTCTGCAAAGAAGACACATGCAAATTTTATAGTCACTTTTCCTTGCTGACCCCAAACACACAAAATATAATAATTAAATTTATAATATAAGGAATATGGTTACCCTTTAAATATTTTCAAATACTGAACTGTAATACTTTTGAACTTAGACTTCATAATATCCGCATTTCTCAACTATGGTATGAATAGCTGGCAGTTATTACCAGTTGCATTAAAAGCAAGCTTTCCTCTAAAAATAAAGTATATTTTCATAATTTTTAGTAACCCCATTAAGAACATGAATTCTGCAGACAGAAACATGGACTTGAACTCCAGCTCTCCCATGTAGTTAACTTAGGTGACATAGGGCAAGTTACCTAACATTTCAATTTTTAGTCTCAGCTACCTTAAAAAGGGAGTATCATCACCTGCCACAGAGGTTATCGTGATGATTAAATGAGATTCTATACATTAAGCACTTAGAATGTAGTAAGCACTCAATAAATGTTATTCTAATTGTCTGTGTATATTCAGGATGTTTTAGGCACAAACCAGATAATGTGAGGAAAATTTCTCTTAAATACTCTTATTTTGTACATGAATTAGAAAATCCAACATGCAAACATCACCACCAAGTAATATTTAATAAATTGCCACCACCAAACAACATTTAATAAAAATAAATATAATCTAAGCAAGCTGGTTTTATCAACAAAATTGCCATTCAATTCCAAAACAATAAATACTGTACAGGATTACAGAATAACTACCATCTATACCCACAAGGGAGCACACTACAGCCATTTACCAGATCTTTTATGGGTTCTAAGTATAATGAAAAACAGACAAAGCAATAAGGAAGTAGCATGAACAACCAGTTCAAACTAGTTCAGCCCTATCTGTGCAAACCAATCAGCAGTAGGTTTTTAAAAATCTATTTTGCATAGCAAAGTATATTTAAGAGACACACATTACAGATGGGTGTGTTACCTGCAAACAAGTATCCATTGCTGCATTACCGGAACAAAACATTTCCAAGGATCATTTTAAATATCATCATCTGTAACTGAGATGCCACTCAGAAAACGATTTCACAAAAGAAATACTACTTTTTTAGGTGGCAACACTAGAATCATGAAGTTCTCACATGACTATAATTCATTTTCCCAGGAAAAAGCATTCATATTTTACAGTAGAAAATGTCTGCCATATCTGGAAGTAAATGTGTAAAACGTGATGAACTACTTTCTCCTGAAAATACTTTTTCATGAAGAAGATAGTCAAAAAAATGTTTTTAAGTCCTTACTCTGTATATTTAGATTCAAGAACTCTGGGGAAATACCATCACTAATAAAATCTTTTTCTACAGCATTCACAAGGGTTTTACTTTTACCAAAGGAATTTATATTTAAATAACCAAGGAGGGTATGTTACCTGCAAATATGTTTCTATGGCTTGGAATTTTTTTTTTCAAATTTTGGGTAAATTATTTTTAAGGAAAGCCCAATGAGCCTCTTATTTAAAGGAAAACATTATTTTCTTCTCTGCTTCATCCCCCTCTGCACATTCCTTTGACTCTTCTTTTTAGCAAAGAGATCATAGCTATGAAACAACAAAGAGAAGTATTACCAAAAGCTGTAGTGTCTAAGC